TCATTCATTCATTCATTCTTCCAATCAACCTTTTCAAATATGTTTCCAAAACATAATTTTTTTTCAAACTACCATCATTATGACAAGTTTGAAAACAGCCATTAAACGAATTATTATTATTGTTACTAATATTATTTATTATTATTTTTGTTGTTGTTTTTGTTGTTGTTGTTGTTGTTGCCAATTATGTCAAAGATTGTTGATTTGAAGTATAATCGATAGAGGAAATTGAGAAATGCATCATCATCGTCGTCGTCACCATCATCATTATCATCACCACCGTCATCATCATCAAAATCAACATCATCATCATCAACAACAACAACATCATCGTCATCATCACCATCATCGTCATCATCATCATCATCATCGTCTTCGTCGTCATCTTCAATCATATCTCCATATCTTCATGGAAACTGTCATCACCATCTTAACAAGTCCGACAATAGTAACAACAACATCAACAACAACAACAATAATAATAATAATAAATAATAATAATAATAAATAATAATAATAACCTGTCATGGTAAACACGCCAACCAGCAAACCGATATTTCGTCCGGCTAACATGACGTCTTCGCTATCAGCACTGCCTGGAAATCATTATCATTATTATTGTTGTTGCTGTCGTGTTGTTGTTGTTGATGTTGTTGTTATTGTTGTTGTTGTTGTTGATGTTGTTGTTGATGTTGTTGTTGATGTTGTTATTGATGATGTTGTCGTTGATGTCTTTTTTGCTTCTTCTAATGTTGTTGATAATGCGGACGGTGTTGTAGTTGGTAGGGAAATGTTTTGTGATCTAGTAACTGAAGCAGTTAATGTTGTCGCTGCTGTAGTTGCTGCAGCCGCTGTAGTTGATGCAGTTGCTGTAGCTGTTTTCCTAGCTCTTGTTAGTGGCGCTGTTGATGTGGTTAATGTTTCTGGCGAGGTTGTTGTTGCTGCTTCGGACTTTCTTCTCAATTTTTTAGGCGGCATCTATTTGGGCTTCAAAAAATTCTAAAAATTAAAAATTAGAATCCGCTTTTATAAAAGTGTTCAATGAAACGGTTATGAAGTAACATAACTTGTCAATAAAAGTAATTATGCGAGCAACAAGAAACAACTTCGAGCGTATAACAATAATACTAACAACAACAACAACAACAACACATTTTTTGCCAGTTTGTGGTACGTTCCATTACATTTGCCACAAGTAATTGCAATCCCTGCGAATAGTTTCATTGCACCAAGCATACACAACTGAACCTGGATTTAACTCGAGTCAGTAGAAGGACAGGCAAGATGACATACACGTACAAAACGAAAAAAACGAATCTGTCCACAACAGCATGCCTTGTTTTGAAGCGAGTTTTTTTCGTTTGTAACAAAACCACCCACCACAGTTGCCCCGCCCCACCCCGCGTGGTGGTTGTAGAAATTGAAACAGGCTAAAAATACAAAGTGGATAACATATTGACAAAATAGGTTGCGTGATTTATAGTAACAGGTGGACTATGTGGAAAAAGGGGGAAGTAATTCATCCAAGTTGTAGAGTTGTTTGTGTCCAACCAACCTCTAGTCACAATTGAAGAGTCTTTAAGTGATGCAGAGCAAAGAAATCTGAGTAGATTTTACACAGGGCATCATCTTGGTTTGAGAACAGCAGCAACAACAACTACTACAATTACAACAACTACTACAATTACAACAACTACTACAACAACAACTACTACAACTACAACAACAACTACAACTACTACAACTACTACAACTCCAACAACGACATGTAATAATCATAATTGTAACGACCATATTATCAAATTATTTTTATACAAAAATCTACCCAAAAAACTCGATAAGGCATGAAAAAAACTCATTCCAAACAAAATAATAATTCGCCCACCAATATTTTGTAAAAATTGTAACAATAATAATTAATAATTAATTAATAAATTGTTAATATTAATAATTATATCAATTATATTAATTATAACCTGCATTTTTTGAACGACAAATCGGCATAGTGATTTTGAGAAGGCTAAGAAATGGCAGAAGGAGTGTAATAACATTTTGCTGCAGAAATTATTCTTCATATTGTATATTAATATTATTAATTATTATTATTGTTATTATGAATTATAATTGTTATTGCTTTTGTTATTATGGTTGTTGTTGCAATTGTGGTTGTTGTTGTTACTATTATTATTATATACAAATTTAAATGCATACAATAAGTGTGATATATATATATACAATCCTATACTATATTTATTAATGTATATCTATGCATGCGAGTATGTATGTATGTATCTATGTATGTCTGTATGTATGTATGTCGGTATTTGTATTCGTATTGTATGTATGTATGTCTGTATGTATGTATGTCGGTATTTGTGTATGTTTGTATGTATGTATGTATGTATGTATGTATGTATGCATGTACCTATTCCGAGCAGCTAAATATGTTAATACAGGAATTTTCCACATTCTTTTTCCAGTTTGACAGACGAAATTTTGAAGCAGAAATTTTGATAAATATTTGTTAAATATCATAGAAAATAATTTCATAATAACATAATAATATCAGAAATAATATTCATAACGGTAATAATATTTATAGTTGATGTTGGTTGTATCAAGAAGTATTAGTGTACGGTGTGTGTGATTTTTGTGTATCTTAGGTGTTGGATAGTTGACTGGTTAATTGATTGACTGATTTATTGTCAGTCATTTGATTGGTTGATCGTTTGATTGTTTGATTGCTTGATTGGTTGGTCGATTGAGTGATTGGTAGTTGAGCTGTTTGGATTGGTTGATTGGTTGATTAATTGATTGATTGATTGACTGACAGACTGATTGACCGACTGATTGATTGATTGATTAATTGGTTAATTGATTGATTTTATATCGATTAAATATATTTCCAGAACGATTCTTCACCTGTCTAAAGCCACAATAGCAACAACATCAACATCATCATCGTCGTCTTATATATATAATAATGAATAACCAAATAAATACCTCCATATTACAAAAAAGTATGATAATAATTACGAATAAATTATGATAGTCGTATAAGCTATAAATAACTGCCAATAAATTGCGTTCGGTTACGAAAAAAAAAATTATGATAAAAAAGAATAAATAATGATAATCATGAATAAATTATGATAATCGTGAATAAATTATGATAATCATGAATAAATTAGGGTAATTGTGAAAAAATTATAATAATTACGAATAAGTTATGGTTATTATGAATAAATTATGATTATTACTTAGCCATGGAGAATATCTCTGACAATAGTCTGTTATGCCATCTTCAGCAAGATTACAAACTAATTGTCGTCTTCCTTTCAAACTGGACAAGATCGCACACGAAATATTCTAACTAATTATAACTAATTATAATAACAATAAATAATAATAATAACAATAATAATAAATTTATCTAACAACAATATTAATAACAACAATAATTGAAACAGGGGACAATTGTTTAAACATCAAAAGCACTACTACTACTATTACTACTACCACTACTACCACTACTACTACTACTACTACTACTACTACTACTAATAATAATAATAGTAATAACAATAATAATATTGATATTATTAATAATAAACTATGAAGACATATAAATATATTGGTCTTTAGTTAAGTTTTTGGTTGAAAGTTGACAATAGTTAAGTTTTCAATGTTGGAATAACAATAATTAACAATATTATTACTGTAATAATAAAATTTATAATAATAATAATTTTATATTATTTATAATAATAATAATTTTATTATTATTATTATTATTATTAACACTGTTATTGACCGATTAGTTAAGTCTGTGTTAGTTAAGTTGGGTGAACATTTTTTTTTGGAAATATAAAAATAGAGCAAGGTTTATAGTATATTTATCTTTGTTCAATGTTCTTAAAATATTATTAATATTAGATGGATAGATGGATGGACGAACGAATGTATGAACGAACAAACAAATGAATGATCTACGAACGAATGAATGTATGAATGAATGAATGAATGAATGAATGAATGAATGAATGAATGAATGAATGTATGAATGTATGAACGATGTCCAATGAATCTAGTCCAGTCCATATGCATGCGTTAGTTGAACATTTGTTAGGGAATTACATAATTTACGGGTTTTGTCAAATGCAACTGTTGTAATAGGGGAGGGGTTAGGGTTATTCATTCATTCATCATTCACTCACTCAATCATTCATTCGTTCGTGCGTTCGTTCGTTCGATCGTTCGTTCGTTCGTTCGTTCCTTCATTCATTCATTCATTCGTTCATTCATTCATTCAGATGACGTGGAATGTGCATTACATGGGCATCCTGGCCATCATCGTATTCTACTTGCTCATCCTGCTCGTCGGAATTTGGGCGGCCAGAAAATCTAAAGGTGATGATGATGATGACGACGAGGATGATGATGGTGACGATGATGATGACAATGACGATGATGGCGATAATAATAAGAATAATAATGATGGTAATATCTTGTGATGATTTTTTGTCGTCTCTTCTCTCCA